GGGGGGGGGGGGGGGGGGGCACATCCGTCGGCAGCGGGGCACAAGCAACGGTCGCGGCGCTCCCCCGGCCAGCGAGGGGCGGCAGAGGCGGCCGCGAGAGAGGCGCAACAGCACGCCGACGACCCCGCCGCCGCCCCCACCTCAACAGCCCCTGGCCAGCGAAGGCCAGGTACCTCCAGGGTATGCCCTTAAAGCCACGTGGGTAGGAGGGCCCGAGCTTCGCACTATAGAGATGAAGGGTGCACAGATTATTTGCGTACCGAGAGAAATGGATGGCAGACGGGGGTAGTTCACGGGGTGTCGAGGAGAGTAGATGAGCCCAGGCCGTACAACATAGACTTCGTAGACCTAGGCATGAGGTACAACGTAGCGTTGGAGCCAGATAAGTACAGTGCGGACGTGAAGGCAGCAGCCTATAGCTGGTGTATCTTCATGCACATGCAGTCGGTGATTGTGAAACGTCCAGGGGGGCTAATGTAGTGAGGGACCAGAGAAACAAACGAGGGGGGTGTACTCATACTCGNCATCTTGTGCTTATTTCCTTGCGTACGGATGACAGCTGCGTATGACTTAACTTATATTCTGGTGCTTTCACTACTTGAGACAGCTGGAAGCACTGTGTAACTGCCTCGAGGGTGCTTGGCCATTTTAACACAACGTGGTGCGATCATCCCCCTTGCGCGGAGTGAGGGTTCTCCACCCCGCACAACATGATCTACTCGACCACCATGATGGTTAACACCAAAAGAAAAACCGGAGGTAAAACAAAAAAACGGTAACCTCGTTGCCGAGTTCACGAAGTGAATTGGCTTGTTTTACAACGTCGTTGCCAAGCGACGAAAACCCAACCCCGATGGCAAACACCGAGGGGGCGGCTTGTTTTACAACGTCGTTGCCAAGCGACGAAAATCCCACCCCGATGGCAAACACCGGGGGANCATGATCTACTCGACCACCATTATGGTTACCGCCAAAAGAAAAACCGGAGGTAAAAAAAAAACCCGGTAACATGGTTGCCGAGTTCACGAAGAAAGTTGGCTTGTTATACAACGTCGTTGCCAAGCGACGAAAACCCAACCCCGATGGCAAACACCGAGGGGGCGGCTTGTTTTACAACGTCGTTGCCAAGCGACGAAAATCCCACCCCGATGGCAAACACCGGGGGAGGGGAGCGGCTTGTTTTACAACGTCGTTGCCAAGCGACGAAAACCCAACCCCGATGACACCGATGGCAAACACCGGGGGACCAAGGTGGCAGGGGGTACAAGGGGTGGGGAAAAAATTGAGGTGGGTCTCCAGGATCGCAAGTGTACGGAGAGGCGTGGTTAGGCCTCAGCCCATCGAAGAACGGCTCTCTACCGCACAGAAGTATCCAGGGTGCAGGACCAACGAACCAACAAGGGGCACGCCGATTGGTACGCACCACCGTGTACCATCCAAACAGCAAGCTCCACAACATAAGGTATTATATAAAAAGACGAAAAATGGAAAAAAATAAACCCCTCAAAACGGAGAATTGTGAGAGATTCACCATGTACCTGTTGGCGCAATCCCTCCGACATTTTCTCGGTCTCCACTCTCTCGAGGCGGGCCACCTCACCGCCGGAAGCAGCCTGACAAAAAAAAACATGGGCAGCATTAGCAGCACGAGTCGCCTCAGGTGGGAGTAGTTCGTGCCGAGCTCCTTGTTTGTGTTGCGCAACTCCTCCGTAGCCTTCTGCAGTTCTACGGCAAAGAGGGAGGAGCAACATAGTGGAACGAGGGACCGGAGGGGTGCCATGAATCTAGGGGGCACCGAGGACAGTGCTGCCGATCCAGGAGAGGGAGCCTTGATGGCTTACCGTTCGGCAAGATGTACAGGGTGTGTTGCGACCGACAAAAAAGCATCAAACCTTCCACTAGGCCAAGCCAGCTTTCCGACCACGAGCGCGAGAACATGCACTGGGCCGATCACTAGACATCACCACAATACCCGCTACCCGCTGTTGACTGCACCAGGCCTGTGCCCCTAATCTAACGTAAACGCCCACCTTCAAGCGACGCTTGGATTGAGGTGAAAGTCTCCGTAGATCTGTCGGGTGTATCTCTGAGAACGAAGAAGGCGGTAAGAGAGAGGGGGCAGGGGGGTCACCGATGAAGACAAGAGAGAGAAAAAGCTTCGGTGGAGTCAAACAAGGTCATCTGCTACCTCCGAGAGCTGAAATGTCCCCCGACGCACTATTCGCGACAGCAGACAGAGAACCGCAGGGGGAAGGAGCGCCGGTGGTTACAAGCTTCTCGAACCACGAACCTGGAGGCTGGATGAAAGACGCCCGTGTAAGCTATCGAGGGCAAGGAGGAGCTATTCGCACAGATGACGACCTGGCAGATGGTATCGACAATACACGTGGCGCCTGCACTCAAGAAGCTATAGTTTTGGCCGAGGCCGGAGTTCTTAGTTCCTAGGGTTGGACTACCAATAGCCGCTTATAGGTTTTTGTGCAGGGGTTCTTGACCGAGGCCGAGGTTCTTAGTTCCTAGGGTTATGCTGCTAGTGGCCGCTACATAGGTTATAGCGTAGGGGCTCTTAGCCGGGCTCACAAGTGGTGCTCAAGTTCTTACATTTTGAGTTTTTCGAGGCTTACTCTATAAACGGCCAAGTTCGTAACTTCGAATACTTCCCCGCTACCTTAACCTCTCCACAAACTCCAGCTGCAGCACGCAAGCGACTGCTTCTCCTGCTGCTCCTGCTGCCACGTTTTGTTGTGAAATGGCACTGAGCTCGACCTACCTCGGGAGATCGACCTCTGCTTGCGCTGGGACCTCCTGCTGTCCCGTTTGCCCAACCCGTGTTGTGCATGTGTTGTTCCACGCCGTGTTGTTTGGAACCGTCCCGTCGAGACGTGGGGCACGACGTGTGAGACAAGAAGCGAAGGAGGGAGGGAGGGAGGGCGGGAGGGAGGGTGAAGAGGCCATCCAGATTGCCGGAGAAAGGGAGCGATTCGAATATCTACGACGACACTCGAATCATGCCGCCGTGTGCCTCTGCGATTTCTTCTATACGCGTGCCACACTAACAACGCTTCACGGGTGGTGTTTGCTATCGGACGGACTTGGCTATCGGACGGAGATGCCCAAGTCTGAAGCATTCCGTGTCGAGCCTCTCCCCACGAAGCGTTTATTATATGGGGTTGGTTCGACAGTTGCACCCTCTCCGTCGGCGAGCGATCTGGACGCGGAGAAACATTCGGCACCCGTTCATACAAGAGAACTTCGCGCCCATCATGATATGCCTTCCATAGCGAAGACATGCTGGCGCCGTCATATGGATAGGGTGACTGGGCGGGCCACGTTCGCACACAGGACGGGTTGCGAAAAGCGGTGTAAAAAAAAAAAAAATTGCTGACCTCGTCCTCGCTCTCGGCTTGCGGTAGCTGGCGGGCTACTCCTGGCTGCGATCATTCGCCTGCCCATGGGCGTAAGAAATACACCACAAAAACGAACGCTCGTGAGAGGCAGGGGTCAGGTGGAAATCACGCGATTCGGACAGCATTGCAGTACGAAGAGCCATCCGAGGGGAATAAAACCTGACCGTTGCCAACGACGCTGACCTCCAAGAAAATGGTTAACTTTGGCACCCCTACGTCACGGCCTATCCAATGCCCTACAAGAGGCAATATCCAAGATTGTGCGAGGTGGTTGTAAACGATGCTTTTCATGTGATCTGGGTCGAACAGATCTTCAGACGTAACGGGGACGTCTGATATTCTGGAAGCATGTGGTCACCGCAAACGATACTCTCTTTCATCTGGCTGGGCCGACCACAGAGACGTTTTCAAACGTGAAAGAAAGGACTGAAACACGAGCCAGGTGCAGGCTTCTTATCGAAAGAATTAATTACACGGAGGAACAACAAGGTACTTAAGAAATACGGGTACCCCTTGGCTCTCCCTTGCAGCAGCAGTCGTCGCGGTACGTGGAAAGGGTCAATCCTGTGGCCCGAGCTGCAGTGACGCGGGGGTATCATCGCAACCGACACGCTCGCCGTTGAGGAGGAATCGCAGCGTGGTTATGCATACGCCCTTGCGGTCGGCGTAGGTGTCAAACACCCTCTTCATGGGCGTGGCCATGCGGAGCTTGAAATATGTTTCCTCGTCCATCTGTCGGCCAGCAGGACGGGGCGCGAGGGGTGCAACCGGCGGACACAACAAGGAAGCAGCCAGAAGTTCTGTCATCAAACCTTAAACATGAACGGCTAATGTACCCCATGTAGGTAAACATGGGTAGACTGTTGTCGAAACATATAACAATTACCCACGAAAAAGGTCATGCCAGGCTAGACATGAACCGCACAGCTTCATCCCGAGAATCTGCCCGAACTATCGTATCCACCCGCGTCCAAAAAGGAAGAACAAGAAACCAAAAAGCCATGTTCACATGACGTGCCAGTTGTGGGACGCGTCGGTGGTGAAAGCTCGGTGGCACAGCAATGAATGGTCGGAGCTGATAAATTTTGGAGCTTCAGAGCCGTAGCTTGTAGTGACCATGCCAGGGGAAAACCAACTTGGGCTGACGCTTTCTGCGCCCCTGGTTTGGGACGAGATAGAACTGCTTCAACAAGGATCGATGTTGACTGGTGCCTAAGGGGCTAAGTGGACAACGAAGCGGCCACCTACTTGAAACATGAAAAACTTTCTGGCTATGTGACCCGTGGAGAGCGCAATAAATAAAGACCTAGCACAGTTCACTGCTGTACCACACGAAGGGCAAGAGGTCGGCCTTGCTCGGATTCCTCTCAAGCACATTTGCATACTCCGTACATACATAGTCTAGGACTTCGCACACATAGTACATGCCTCACGTATGACAAGGGTGGTCTGTTCTGTGGGCAAGGTATATCTACCCTGGGCTGGAAACTGGAAACACATCTCTGGATCATGGCAGAGCTAAAGGTCCTACGTGTACGTTGCGTAAGATACCACACCCCATCTATCGGTTTTCAAGGCTCGATTTTTGTTTTCTTTGTCTTCACTTCAAATCAGCCCTCACAGCGCTAGTGCCGTTTACTCCCCTCTCTTTCCTCCCCTCCTGCGGTACTTTGCCTTCGATTTTTTATGCGACAAGAGTCCAGCACTCTCTTCCCTCTGTGTACACACGAATTAGCGCTATCCACTAGGTAAGTGCAACCTTATCAGACACGCCGAAGGCGTGCTTCAGGCATGTGCAAATCAGCCCGCCGCAGGCAAAAATAATTGGGTTCAGGCACAATTTCTTGCCTGACACAGGTTTTTGCCTGAAATGCCTGATATGTTGCCTGAAATGCCTGGTTTGAATCAGGCAACATGCCTGAAAACTTGCCTGAGACTTGCCTGAAACCCATTGTAGTCGTTTTTGCGCCTTTACTACGCAACTGCAGCGCGCCACTAACGTGCACCGGCAGTGTTGGCGTTCAGGGCTTACACTGAAGTATTTAGACTTGTACTACAGGCTTGTAGTTAACGAAAAATATAGAAGACCAGAAATATTGTTTTATGTTGCAAACAACAGTTATTTACCCCGTGCAGCAGTAGTACGTTGGTTGCCCCCATTGACCCCAAGCGTCTCGACTCAGTACTCCATCAACATCAGCAAGAGGTTGCTTGAAGCGGGCGAGGGGCGAGGAACAGAGAGAACACACCCGAACAGCTGGAGGAGCAGAAAGAAACAGAGAAAACCAATACCTTCTGTTTGGTGTGATACCAACTAGATATATATAGACCACCGGGGCGACCGGCTTTCGACTACTCCACGACGAAGAGGATGCCGAAATCAAAGGACACGCTTTCCGAAAGCTCTCGATAAGACGGTTCCAACGCCGCCATTTTCGGCACCGCCACTGCTGTTGTATGGGGTAATCGGAAATTGGGCTTTGGAAATCGGTCCACGGGGTGTGATATCCTAGTGATATACTATGCATGTGCAACGTACGGTGCGCAAGTAGTTACATCTCGTCTGACCGGCACCGAGACAGCCGGCCAACAAGCGGCGCATGGCCACAAACGCACCCCACCGACCTACCAGATCTGAGACACGGATGACTACCGTGGCTTTCAGCGCTCCCCTGCGGAAACAACGTTTTTGAACGAGGTGCGCGGGGGGGGAGGTAATGTCTCCTTCGCGTCTGTCCCTCCTGCGGTCTGCATGTACCAACCTCAGCAAAAAGTTCTCTACGCAGGTTTCGCTGCGAATCTACTCCTAGATATTGCAGAACGAACCATTTCAGGATACAATTGTCTAGTCTAGATATGGCGGGCTTGATTCATCGCTATCGTGTTGCCTGATGCCCTACCAAAGGCGAGGGTTGTACCAGGAAGGTCCGCTGTGGCGTGCGTCGGGCCGAAACAAAACTGCAAGTACCTGCCCAGCAGCAGCAGCAGCAGCAGCAGCAGCAGCAGCAGCAGCAGCAGGGCGCATGATCTCCGTCGGGCCTGTGAGAAGAAAATGGTACGCCGCGGCCCCATCGCCAGAGATTGCAGCAGCAGTGTCTGCGCCAGCACTCCTGGCTCTCACAGATGTTATCGGCATGGCCACACGGCACTGACGAGTTGCGTTGGGCGTGGAGCAAAGACTACGTTGGCGTGGAGTGTGGACAATAAAGGGGGCCGGTATCGTGCTGGGTACCAACTTTGCAGTGACAAACGATCCCTGCGGAGCCACTGCGGTTGCATCCGTTTGAATAACCCACCACGCAGCACAGAACAGTGAATCTTATTGAGCGGATAAGCGCCCCCGAAATGTGTACCTCGGTACACTTCGGATCGAGGTCCATTCAAACGTGGCACATGGATCCACGGATCCATTCATTTGAGGCATGTAGTAAGTGTTTTTGGTCGACGATCTCTGTGGAAACCCGCGGGCAGGCGGTGAAAAACCGTTAGAAACGTCGTCCACGATCCCGACCAAAACCAGACAGAACCGTCAACCGCTAACCCGCCGACACAACTTCGTTTTCTTTTTATCAGGTGAACACAATGCTTCTCGTCATTTCGGCATAGTTATTGATACCACCGGGAAGCCAGACAGCGTACACTCATATCCATGCCGAGAACGTCCAGACGTACTGTGGCGAACACACGGGAAAATATGATCGGGTCTGGAGGAAGCATGGTCGGGCCAACGGCGGAAGCAACTGGGCCAGAGGTATAGACTAGGCGTGTTTTGGGGGCCTTTTCGCCGAGCAAAATGAACTCTGGGATTGTCGTTAGGTTACGTCTTACGTTTTTGTAAACCGTGGCCCCATATCGACGCACGCACGCCACACTCCCGTGCTTTGTAGATGCGACAAAGGTGTACATCATCATCAGCAAGTCTTCAATATAGTCTACATCATCATCGTCAGTCAGTATTAGACTACATCGTTACGCACACCAGTGTATACAAAACGGAACCGCACTGCCATTTATTGGGACTTCATCTCCGATGTTGTTCATGTTCTTGTATGCTGCCGTTAGGAAGGACATGTCTCGCAACCTTTTGCTGGAGGGCGTTGTGCCGGACCCGACGTTCACGAGGCCTATCCTCGGCAAGCTACTGTATGTAGCCTCTCTCTGCAAGATGTCCGTTGTGATCCATGTACCAAACGATGGACGTTGGGCAATCTCACCGTCTCTGGTCTGGTCCAAAGGTCCTTTTTCGGGTTAATAGCTGTGTATCGTTGTAAACTAATCTTCACGTCCAAATCCAATCTGGCGTATGTCCACAACCTTTCCTCTTCCGCACTCGATGCGCGTTCTGCTGCTGTCTCTCGGCCACACATGGGCAGGTGCCCAACACAAGGATCCCTTTGTTTTCCAGCCATCGATGAACTGCGGTTGTAACTACAATTTTTATTTATTTATTTTTTTGCCTTCCGACAATTGCAGATGTTCCTCAGAAAACTTTCACTTAATCTCTCATACTCTACATGAATATTAAACCAATACGAAGTACAACAACATATGTAGGACTTATTTCTACTACAATTATAGCAGAGTCTGCTGTGCTGGATTAAGGACCCGAGTTTAGGCGATGGATTCTAACGTTCCAACGGCCCTTCTTTGGGGATGTCTTTGAGTACTGTTGGTGTTGTTCCCGTGACAAAACCAATCGGCCTGACCTCTACCCAATACCACCTCAAGCAAGTTTCCACATCATCGCCAGCTTATATCTTCATATCTTCAATACAGTCGCTACAAACGAAACCCGAGAAATCACTGTATTTCATTAGCTGCCTGAACTTGTCATTTACGGACTTTCGTTTATTTCGTTGTGGACCTTGTCCGGGTCTTGTACGGGTACCGGGCATGACGGTATGAAGAAGTAGCTTGTGACCACCGAAGCATTGACGACCCAGTTGAACAATGCCGACATTCTTGTCTGTGAAGTAGCAACAACAAGAATTTTTAACTTTGAACGAATGCCATACAAGCATATCTACATGCACTTCTCAAGCGTTCCCCCCTGTTGCGCCCCTGCGCGCTCGTTCGGTTGCTCCTCGTTCCGGACATGCAATAACCCAAACAACGATAGCCTTACCAGCAAGCTTTTCGTCCAAGCGCGATGCCCCTGGTGCTGATCGACTGCAAAGGGTCAGATTTTTGCGGACTAGTTATGTCTGACGGCACCAGCAACGGCCCGCGGCTCAGGATGCTCCCGTCAATGCGGCCAGAGGCAATCGTGCAGCGGTGGTCTAACCGCCAGGTCCACACCAAGCGTACGGTTGGGCAGCTCCTGCACGTGGCACAGACACTTGCACCCTCACGGCGCCTGGCGACCCAGCGAGCAATTGCGTTCATCCGCCGCAAAGACTGTTTGCGGAAAATCGGAAGCGAGAGCGCGTTGGTGCGCTGGTGTCAAGGTTATGGGAGGTCATGTTGGAGAGTACCGGCCAAGGAGAACGGGAGCACTGCTGCGACCTCCCCACGTGCGCGACGCACCTCGGCAAGCTCCTCAAGATGCATGCGTGGCGTCCAGCGGACGGCGGCGGCGGTGGCGGTGGCGTCACCGCGACAACCGGCGCCTGGAGCAGCATGGTCACAACGACAGCCGCGGCAGCTACCCCGGGAAACAAGCTGGGCGCGGAGTTCAGTCTGAGCGGTACTACTAGCGATTTAGCAGAGAACCGTGATACCATGGAGGAGCTCGGTATGCCGAGCGTGGCGAGGGAGGGAGGGAGGGAGGAAAAACAGGGAGTCCGAGGACGAGAAAAGTTGTGCGAATGTCGCCTTTCCAGAACAGGCTACTGACAAGCCTGCGCGTTCGGACGAGGGAGCAGGTGAAGATTTTCACAGCATTGAGAATCCGGGAAGACTCCACGCAGAGGCTGCGGGGGGGGGAGCCGGTGGTCGGGTGAATAGCGGTTTGCCCGTCGGGGAGGTGACGGGTGCTGTAATGAGCGGCCAGAAGACCGGGTATCGGACGAGGGTAATGGTCCGGCCAGAACGGGCCGAGGAGTACAGGAGCACTGCCGCGGCCGGGAAGCAACAGGCAGCGCAGAGACACCTCCTGGATGCTGAGGTGAGCCTGAGCGGGATCAGCGGTTTGGCAGAGAACCGTGATACGAGGGAGGAACTCGGGATGCCGAGCTTCGGAGAGAAGGGGGGAAAGAAGAGCAACTTGTACGAAGACGAGGAGAATTGTTCGGATACCCACTTGCCTGAACAAACGACTGCAAACCCTGCGGCCTTGAGAGAGGGAGAAGGTGAAGATCTCCACAGCGTCGAGGGAACGAGCGGGCTCCACTCAATGAGCGAGGGGGGGGGAGCCGACGAACGTGGGAAGTTGGCGGCGTTAAGACGACGGGTGATCGCGCTCCAGGCGACCGCATTATTAGGTATGACAAAGAGACTGGAGGCGGATGAGACCGCGCTTAGTTTGAGAGACCTTCTGAGGACAACCGTGGACGAAGCACAGCTAGCCCACGTGAGATGCATCGTTGAGCGCAAGCACCACTCTTGTGTGTAGATGATGCCGTGTGGTTGGAACAGGGCGCATAGCACCCAGGCACAGTGTGCAACATTCTTCGAAAGCATCAGGATAAGTAGCAATGACTAGTGAAATCTCTGCAGGTGGAGCGGCAAGTTGGCGGGCGAGGCCCGATGCCCGCCACAGAACACGGCAGATACTGCTCCTCAATTCACCCCGGAGTGTGAATGTCATTCCTTCGCCCGTCTCACCGTTTTCTCGTCTTTACCCCCGATTGTTGGCCCCTAGTTTATGGCGCGATGCTCTCGTATAGCTAAGGGCGGTAACAACCACCCGGGCGGTGCTATGGAGGAGACTTGGCCGCTCAGAGATGAATCCAGTTGGTACGTACCCTTCAGCACCACTATTGTCTCCAAGCCATACATAGCATGTGTACATTGTACAACACGCACAAAGGCCGCTGTTATGCCCAGGGTCAAACCACCTGTTGCGCTACGTGCTCGCAGAGGGATGAATGTACAAGAAAGCATTGTTTCCCCCTTGCCTTCTTGTGACGAGTGCTTAGCAGTAGGGTTGTTTGGCTTGACCCGTGCAAGCATTCACAGCGCTGCACCGACTGGAGAAGAACACAGGGGGTTACACGCATGTTTACTGTCCCGCATTGTGCACAAACCCCGACATATGACAAGAGCCAGTAACACCAAAACCGTGCACATACGTCAAACTAGGCTCATGATTTATCGGAACAACTAACATCAAACCGGTCTTGGGTTGCTCGCTGTGGTTTGAATTCAGGTTGGAAGATATCACAGACGTGGACTCGCTGTCCGGGTACGACTACACGACAGCTGCCGAGACTGTTTATGTCACCACGGCCACCTCCACCAGCAACGGTGGAGCGGGTGAGAGAGAGGAGGGGAGAAAGCTCCCCGGACACCCCGTGCAAGTCGGAAACTGCAGCACCAGTACCAGCACCAGCACCGTCGTTGTGTGTTTCAAGGGCGAACAAGCGGAAATTACCGCTACGAAGATTTTCGAGGAAGAAGAGCGCGGGACGGCAGGTGAGGAGCAAGACAAGGTGGTGGGGCACACGAACGTTTCAGAGGGAGAGAAGAAGGAGGAGGAGGAGGAGGAGGAGATCGACATGGGCGGGGGCATGGACATGTTCGGCGGCGGCGGTAAGTCGGCTTCCGATTTTGCGTCCCTTCCTTCTAATAGACGTAAGTGTCAACACATTGTNGAAAAGGAGGAGGAGGAGGAGGAGGAGGAGGAGGAGGAGGAGGTGGTGGTGGCATCGGGTGATGGTGTAGCGGAAGGTGCTGATTCGAACAGGGTCTTGCCTTCCGAGGCAGGGGGCGGCATCTCTGAGGACTCTAGACCGAGATCAACCTGCGCGTCCACGGGGCTGAGCGGGAATAGTATTGAAGTGTTCCGCTTTTCTCCGATCACGGTCTTGTACGATCATGAGGCCTTCGGGAACGAAAAGCAGATCGTCGAGGGTGCGGCCCAGGAAGACACCACAAAGGAGAGGGGGGACATCTTGGGCAACCGGCGTGGCTCGCTACAGGATGTCTCGTTTCTGTCCGGCAACATCCACATCGAGATCGGCGACGGCGAAACACAGGCCACAAAGAAGAACACAGCTGAGAAGGAGAGGTATGAACTAGAGGAGTGTGGCTCACACAAGCGCAGTACAAGGCCAAGGAACCCCTCGGCAGCCTGGAGCAACGCCAAGCGTAGCGTTGGTATACACAGCGGGATCTGAGCCGGTGAAACACAGGAGACGAAGGAGAACACAGCTGAGAAGGAGAGGCATGAACAAGCGGGTGTGGCCCGCGTAAGCGCAATGCAAGGCCAAAGGACCCCCTGCTAGCATGGAGCAACGCCGAGCGTAGCGTTAGCATCCGCCGCGAGATCGGCAACAGCGAAGCACAGGCGACGAAGAAGGACACAGCTGAGAGGTGAGGTATGAACTAGAGGGGTGTGACTCACACAAGCGCAGTACAAGGCCAAGTAACCCCTTCCTACCCTGGAGCAACGCCGAGCGTAGAGTTAGCGGGTGCGGCGCCCGACACGACGCGCTGCAGAGGTCTCCCGACCAGGCACCCTCCAGCGTTGTCAATACTTCGCGTCGCACGGAGGAGCGAGACACAACCGACAGCAATGAGGGTGGCGGTGGTGATGAGACCCAGTCAACGCCGCCAGAGGCAATCGCGGGAGAAGGCGGCGATATTGTGCAGGAGATCGTTGGTGTCGATGCCAACACACCGCGACTCCTGGCGATAGGTAACTCTGACAAGTCTGACCTTCAAAGCGAGAAGGGAACGGAGCGGCAGCGGCAGCGGCAGTTAGAGGATGGGAGCCGTTTGCGGGCTTGGCGAGTGGGCAAGCTTAGCGCCCTAGCCCTCGTCCTCAGGGAAGCCGAGGACGCCATCTGCGCAGGAGAGCGCGGTGGCCAAGGACGATCGCGGACCACACTTCACACTTCAGCTGGTGTTGGTTTTTGAGGTACTGTATCGAGAGCAGGCACTACCCATCCGTGCACATAGCACGAATAGTCAACGGATACAAGGTCGGCGGTTTCCTTCTTTCCTCACTGTCGGCATCTGGTTGATCCTGTGTTTCCATTACCAGCTGGCCGTCACATTTCGACACCAACATCATTGTTGATTCAGTTGAAGATGTTCGTGAGTCTGCGAACATTGCTGTTGGATACATGTGCTGGATGATTTTGTGTCACGCAGACTGGTAAGATAACCGTTTGATAGGGGGCACCGCGATGATTCACGGGGCCCCTCCTTGGTGTGGGAGCCGCTCTTTGAGCACTCCCTCTTTCGTCCGTGTGAAGGACGGTCGTCTACCTCCCGTGAAGTTAATACATCACCAAAACAGTCTCACCCGATAAATAAGTGGCGTAGGCCGCAAACACTCTAGAG